TGTCAGCAGTGGGGCTGTAGGTGTATGTGGGGCTTGTAGTACAAAAAAAAAAAAAAAAAAAAAACACACACACTCACAGATGTTGTTTCGTAAGTGTTATAAGCACTGGATATAAATGGTATTTTTTATCACTTCTGACTAATGTGAAACTGTTGTACGAAAACTACATGAACAAAAGTCATCTGTTTCGACTCGTGTGGGCCTGCCTCACAGTTGCCGGATTTGAGTCATTTTTATGTCTTGTTATTTCATTTATTTATGCAAAATACATGTATGTATGAACACTTTGTTTTAGCTCCAGCCCTGCCTCAATGCTGATGCTCTGTATGTTAAAGCCACATTCGTGAAAATGACTGGCTGTTCAGGAATCACCAGCTGGTAAAAATTGCATTTACTGGCTGGGGGAGTGGGAGGAACATATTTGAATCTGAATTGTGCCTATGAGCGTGTTATTCTATTTATTAGCCGACATTGGCTCTAAAATGTCAGTAGAAATCAAGGAAGGACAATCATAAGGATGAAACCCAACATTTTTACTTTTTATTAATCGGAGCTCAAAACAAAGTTTTTTGATGAATTTACCATCTCATTTTAGATTTTTTTTTTGTTTGTTTGTTTTTTTTAAATTGTGTAAATATAACATAGGAAATAGAATTTTATTTTTTGTTCATGGATACTTAGTGAAGTATAAGTTATGTATTTACTTTTGTTCTATATCAGTGTATGTTGGTCCATATTAAATGCTGACAAGTCACTGTACCTCATGTAGATGCTGAATTTACACCCGCAGTGTGAGTGCAGTATTGTGGACCTGTAGCTGGGACAGCAAGATGCCTCACTTGTGCTCCCTCTGATTTTTGACAGCACGTTCCACAAACAGGGAACACTTTCTTCTTTTTTTAGAAAGTTGATGCATGAAACGTGCCAAAGTTTGGCTACATTTGGTGGGAAACACAGTCTTCTGAATCCAAGTAAAACCAATGAGATATTGTACTTTACAAGAATGGCATTTGGAAGTCAAAAGTATATCCCTGAAAAATTAAAATGACTGAAACGGCCCTTGCAACGTAGGCAAGACTCATTAATATCAATCCTTTATGTTGTATGTTCATTTAATCACGTTATTGTTGTATTAGGCTCTAATACCAGAGAAATTGTTCACACAATACACGAAGAGGATTCATGGAATTGCTTCTTAAGCTTTGTGTTTGAGGCCCCTTAGAAACTGACTGGAAAAATAACTCCATTCAGGAGCACTAATATAATAATACTATTTTCTCTGTGAACAGTTTATTTAATTAACAGATACAATATATTTTCTTTTGGAAAATTCTTAAATACTTATATTCAAGAGAAGAAGGCTCCCCAAACAGTCTGATACCAGCCAGAATAGTTCACTTCTTATTTTATAAGAATGGAAGCTAAAGGTCCCAATGGAAACCATACTGCTTTCCAGGGTTGACATGCAGAAAGGAGTCTGGAGAACTGGCCAGATTCTGCTCTGCCTGTGTGTTTGGGCACCACCCTTTGGCTTGTGAAATCACCTGCTGAGCATTCCCAGGATCCTGAGGAGCTCCTAAATCAGTGTGCAGCGAGAGGCAGGGGGAGGGAAAAGATGGGATGGCTCTGGGATGGACACTCAAACCCAACAGCAACATCAGTCCCAATAAATGCACCAGCCTGTGCAAAGTGTGCAGCAGCCAGCTGTGGGCAGCTCCTGCCCTGGATAAACACAACACAACCCCCTCCCAGTGCCATCTGATCCCCTGGCTGCCTCTCTGCATTTTGTTTTTTTTTTTTTTTTTTTTTTTTTTTTTTTTTTTTTCTTGTACCTTTCTTCAGCTTGTAGCAAACTAGAATGCTTAGCATTTATGTTCATTCATTATTGTATTTCCCATGTAAAATTTTTTTTTATTACATTAAGACAAGCTTATAAGCTGTTACTACATAACTTATCTTACTGTAACTCTTATTTCCTGACATTGTAATTTGTTTGTGATGTATATTGTGAGATTGTACTCTATGTTAATTTAATCAGCACAATTCACTGACATGCTGGACTGACATGCTAGCTGCTGTTTCAAATTGTAAAGTTTGTGTAGAGCTGTTGGGACAACTGAGACTCTCTTGTCAAGGTACTATGCTTTGATTCCTATAGCAACACCCTGGGTGCAGCTCTTACTGGCGAGGGCTGCTTGTTTAACAGCCACTGGCTACTTAATGGGCAGGTTTTCTTTGTAGAAATTCTATATACAGTGCAGGTACCTACCTGGGCCCATGGCCGGTAATTATTTGGGCGTTTAGAGGAAAAAAAACTAGTGTCTATTGCTGCTTTGAATATGTTTTAAAGTCTGAAAATGTAAATAGTTTATCAAAAAAAAAAAAAATCTTGTACAGTCCAGTGTAAAGTTTTTAAATGAACTTAAAGGTTGCCATCACATCTCACACTCTCCTCTTGATACAGTAAAAAGAAAAAAAAAAAAAAAGAAAGAAAAAAGTTTGCTAAGGATATTGATTTAAGAAAAAAATCTGTTCTCAGATTTAAAAAGAGAATAGTTATTCTTAGCTCTGCTTCATTGCATAAACAGACTTCTTGGATTTTGTTGTGCAGTATTGACGTGAGGTAAATTAAATATTAAATAATCTTTCAGTGGTACTTTTAAGAGTCTTCTCCTCCTCTGCCTCAGTTATTGATGGAAAAGACAAAATTGAAAGACCCTGTCCATATACAGTATGTTCTGGTGTACGTTGGCACCTTACCTACATGTTTCGGGTGGGAGGGATTTTTTAATTTTTTTTTTTTTTTTTTTTTTTTTTTTTTTTTTTTTTTTTTGCACAAGGTGCTTTCCTGATATGTTAAACATGTCATCCTTGGGTGATACAGTATATGCCATGATAGGGGTTTAGACCCCTCAGGGGAGTGTCTATAAGACTGCCTATTTATGCTCATTTACCTCAAGACTGTCCTCTCTACCCTTAATCTATTCACCATCACTCCATCTTTTGTACTGCTGTTGACACTTACAAATTAAAGATAAATTTTGTTTTATGAGATGCGTGTGTGACTTCTTCTATGCACCCTTTATTCCTTTGAATTTAGTATTAAAGACTGACCATGATGGGAAAATGCAACTAGGTCTGTTCAGCTGGCCTCCTGTAAATTTGGTGACTGAATTTTGCTGCTCTTATGTTTAGCCCATGCCTTTCCAGTCTACAAAGGCATTTATCAGCCTCTGAAATCCATTAACAGCATATGCTGTAAAAGACATGCTTGATAACCAACCTAATTTGACAATACACCCTGAATAATGTCGATTTTGTGTGCAGGAAGTGCTGTTGGTAGCACCATAATCCTCAGAAGGATTTTTAGTGAGTAGAAATGAGACAAACCAGTTCTCATGTCTCTTCTTTCTTTGCCTTGCCCTTTTCTGCTGCACATAACTTTAAACAAACTAACCAAATTTAAACAGCATCAAGCCTATCTATAGTTGCCATATTGCCATGTCTGTAAACTGCTGCCATTGGTGTCTTGTGATTGGTTTCTGACTTAGCAATTAG